ACAATATTCCAGATGTGGTCTAACCAAAGCAGAATAGAGGGGTAGCATTACTTCCTTAGATCTAGACAGTAGGATATGATATGCAGGATCATATCCTACTTCGTGTATTCTTTAGTCTATCTTCCAGCTAAGAAGACTCTTAACAAGTTAAACCACATAAAGGGTTTTGTGGGGTGGGGGGGTTTGGGGTTGTTTTGGCTTCTGTTTAAGCCAAGCTTGTTTTCCTATGGGGCGTAAATCAACTCAAGAGAATGGTGACCCCTGAGATGTGATAGGCCTACAAATCCAAAGCGACAGCAACAAAGGGAGCCGAGAATGACCACATTTGGGTGGATATGTATAATAGTGTTTCTCAACCTTCCTAATGTCGTGACCCCTTAATACAGTTCCTCACGTTATGGTGACCCCCAACCATAATATTATTTTCGTTGCTCCTTGATAACTCTAATTTTGCACTGTTATGAATCGTAATGTAAATAACTGATGTGCAGGATATTTTGCCCGTACATGTGCACCATGCTGCCCCGGGTTGAGCACGCCTGCTCTCCCCTCCCCGCTTGGAGTCTTAGAAACAGCCCTCCCGTTGGCTGAGAGGCCACCCAATCACAGTGGAGAAGGGTTTTTGGTGGGACTATTTGCCTCCTGTTTCCAAAAGGAAGAGAAGGACAGGTGGAGAGATCTTCAGCCTTCTCTGCCAACGGGGTTCCTAAGACCATCACAAACCCTCTCATGACCCCCCAAGTGGTCGCGAACCCCAGGTTGAGAACACTGGTATAATAATTACCTTGAGAAAAGAAAGGGAAAGGAACCCCATTTAAGGAAAGGAAGAAAACTCAGTGCTGTGAAGCATCAGCCTAGGGAAAGTGGAAACTTTGGTGGGGAAACGTGCAAACCTCGTGCCTTCTTAAGGAAGCTTCAGAAGGTGCAAAATGGATAATTCCAGGGATTAGCTCAATGCCACTGGGAATTTTATTTTTTTTCCCATTCCTCACCAGAGGAGATTAACCCCATCACAAGCCATCTGCATCCTCTAGATAAGCCCGACCGAAACCCGTTGCCAATGTAAACAACCAAAGGGGCCAATCCAGGACCGAAAGGGGGTTTTGATGATCTGGAATACACTTCATTAGCATGCAAGAAATAGAAAATGCTCACCTGCAGTAAAGTCTGGGTGGACAGGCCAGAAATTGGTGAAGTCAGGAAAAAGAGTAGGAAAGAAAAAGAAATAGTATTATCGGTGTTGGAAACTAAGATTTCCGTCGAAGTAAACTATGTACATATGTTTGTACTTTAAAGGCTCCTTCATGGCTTGATGGATTGGGACCAAACGTGGGACACAAACCCTTCATGGTCCAAATTAAAATATTGGTGGGGTTTAAACTAAAAGTCCACCTTTTTTGTTTGTTGCCTTATCTTTAAAATGATCTACCTTGGTGACTTATGAGCCTCACCCTGAAGTACTCAATGCAGCCACAAGAGGTCTCTATATAGACAGAAAGGCTTTAAAAAAACGTGGCAGAAGCGAATTGTACTGCAAATCACTTCTGGTGTGAGAGAATAGGCTGTCTGTAAGGACGTTGCCCAGGGGACGCCTAGATGTGTTACCATCCTGTGGGAGGCTTCTCTCATGTCCCCACATATAAAGCTGAGGCTGACAGATAGGAGCTCACTCCACTCCCAGGATTTGAACCGCCGACCTTTCGGTCAGCAGTCCTTCTGGTGTAAGAGAATTGGCTGTCTGCAAGGATGTTGCCCAAGGGATGCTTGGATGTGTTACCACCTGTGGGAGGCTTCTCCCATGTTCTCACATGGGAAGCTGGGGCTGACAGATGGGAGCTCACCCCACTCTCTGGATTTGAACTGCTGACCTTTTCAGTCAGCAATCTGGTGTACGAGAATTGGCCGTCTGCAAGCACATTGCCTAGGGGATGCCCAGATGTTTTACCATCCTTTGGGAGGCTTCTCTCACGACCCTGCATGGGAAGCTGGCATTGACAGACAGGTGCTCACCCCACTCCCCGGATTCAAACTGCCGACCTTTCAGTCAGCAGTCCTTCTGGTGTAAGGGAATTGGCCCTCTACAGGGACGTTGCCCAGGGGATGCCCAGATGTGTTACCATCCTGTGGGAGGCTTCTCTCATGTCTCTGAATGAGAAGCTGGGGCTGACAGATGGGAACTCACTCCATCTCACAGATTCAAATTGCCCACCTGCCTTTCCTTCAAACACCAATACCTCCTCACTTAATGCATTTCCTATTCATCTACTCACATTGGTTTCCAATTTGCTAGGTGGGCAGGGAGCTGGACTGAGTATCGGGAGCTCACCCTGACCTGGCTTCGATTTATCAACCCTTCGGCTGGCAAGATTTACTGTAGCAGGTGATTAACCTGCTGTGCTAAAGCCGACCCTTTTAGCAGGGCATCCTTAAAATAATGTTCACAACGAGCATTTCTGATATATATTGTTAGAAAATGCATCCTGCGCTAACTTTTGGAAACATGCCTTCACCAGGTATGTATTTCCCCGTTTGGGAGAGACTCACCCGCTGCTGGATCAGCGCATGCTTGTGCTCCATTTCCCGCTTCTCCACTGCAGAATCAATCACCAACTGGTCGAGCTGAATGCAAGAAAGAGAATAAATAGGATACAGTAAATACAAAGTCTTCCTCCTCCTGGGTCTTAATATTGGGTTGCTGTGAGTTTTCCGGGCTGTGTGGCCATGTTCCAGAAGCATTCTCTCCTGACATTTCACCCACATCTATGGCAGGCATCCTCAGAGGTTGCAAGGTCTGTTGGAAACTAGGCAAGTGGGGTTTAACTATTTGCGGAAGGTCCAGAGTATATAAACTCATCAAAGGCGCAGCGACAGAGCCAGGTTTTAAGGTTCTTTTTGAAGATTTCTAGGGAAGGGGCTTTCCTAATTTCTCCAGGCAAGGGAACATTGTTGTTTGTGTTTCAGGATTCCGATGTGGGAAATGATGAGGGAAATGATGGTGCCGAGACTGAGGTACAAGATGGAGATGGTTTGGTCAATGATTTTCAGGCAGACAATGACAGAGAGGCCCCAGTGCAAAGGGCAGTTTCTCATGAGAATATCCCTGCTGGGCCTAGCAATGATAGTTCGCTCCCTCTCTCTGTGAGCTCTCAAAATTTGGGTTTGGAAAACAATCTGACACCTGGGAATTTTAATGAGCAGCCAGATAGGGAGCTGAAGAGTAGGCGGCTGGAGATCAGCCAGGATCGACAGCAAACTTAGTGTTTACATTGCTCTGACAGGCTTTGTCTGATAAGAGGTACTGTATATTCTGGGGTACAAAATGGCAATTTTAGCAAACAAAATAGAGAGTTGGGGATATACTCGCCGTTTAAGACGACTCCCCAAACCAGGCGCTT